CTGTAAAATGACGCTAACGTCATCCCTACCACATACCTGTGTGTGAGGATGAAACGAGGAAATGCCCTGAAGCACCCAAGCCCAGTGCCTGGCACACAGTAGGCACTCAATAAATGTTAGCCTCCCTTCTTTTGAGGACTCGATACATTAGCCAGGTCACTAAGGCTTCAGGGAAACACACGTCCTGCAAAAATGCCAAAGGAGTTAGGCATAAGGACGACAAGAACTTGAGTGGTCTCAGTTGCTGCTGTCAGGGGCTGTCTGACACCCTGCAGCTTGCTCCCCCAAGCTTGCAGACCTCCCATGTTCCCCGCCACCTTCACCACTGAGGGCCAAGCTCCTCAATCCAGCTGGTTTGGCCTCTTCTCCCCTGGGCCACCCAGTGCTCCAGCCTGGAAGGTTTCCTCAGGGTCCTCGAACATGCCCTACCCACCCCTGCGGGGGACCCAGCTGTTCTTCTCTGGGAGCGCCCCCCCTTGTCCCGCCCCACTTCTTCAGAGCTTCCTTCCAGCTCAGCTCAGGTCCCCTTCCCAAAGCTTTTTGTCTAGCTGCTGAGTAACTTCTCTCTCTCCCTCTCTCCCCGGCTCTTGTCGGAATCAATGCTTTCAGCCGTCCTCACACACACGGCCTGGGCTGCCGTTTAACCCCTTTCCCGGTCACCATCTCCTTGACAGGCTCCTGGAAGGTGGAGCCATTCTCCCTTATCTTTGATGCCACCTCCCCCCCCCAGGGACTGCGGAGCACCTGGCTGGTGCTTGGTAAACGTCTCCTGAGGGCATGAAAGTCTCTCCTGCTCCCTGGGTCAGAGAGGACGTGGGAAGGGGCACATGGAAGGATGCAGGAGTCAGCTGAGAGGAGGCAGGGTTTGGAGGGGGTTTAAATTCTGCAGGGCTGCAGGGCGGGGCTGTGCCCTTTCATCTCTGCCGTAACTAAGGCACCCTCAACTTCCGGGGAGAGCTGGGACCCAAATAATAATCCCCATCCCTCACGGCCATACGACCTCGTGGGGAACCCAGAACTTTCACATCCGTGTTACCTGCTCAGCAGCCCTGGGAAGCAGGTAAGACGGTGCCTCCCCCTTTTGTAAAGGAGGACATCGAGGCTCAGAAAGGCTAAGCGTCTTGCCCGAGGTCACACAGCAGGTGAGGGGTGAGCCCCAGGAGGGAAGGTAGTTCTGCCAGACCTCATGGCAGGGTGCTGTGCATTGCACACGCCTCCCTGCTCCTCTGAGCTTGCTGAGGCTTTGTCACTGCTCTGAATATTCCAACAGGAGCCTGAGAAGGAGGCGGAGCTCCTGTCACAGAAGCCACATGAGACTCTATGAGGTCGGAGTGAGGACATCAGGCCCTTGCTACTCCCCCTCTGTCCCTGGGGGACTGAACATGTCCACTGCTTCTGCAGCCACTTACCTGTTGCCTTTGTGCCCAGCCTTCAACTTGGCATATAGGGATTTGAGGTATTTGGTGGTCTGTGCCTCAGTTTCCCCTTTATGGATTTGCTCACTCCTTTCTCCTGGCAGTCAGGGTGAGGCTAAATTAATGTTTATTCAAGGGCTTCTGCATTCTGAGCTGACAGGTGCCTTGTGATGGTAAAATACGAACCCAATGTAAGTGCAAAATGCTATTGTTTTACACCTGAGGGTGATGTTTCATAATGGCAATGCACTGTCAGAGCCGTAAGCAGAAATGAATGGTGTGTCTAATCCTCCCCAGCTCCCCCAGACTCAGAAGACAGAAGCTCCCATCCCAGGGTGGGAGAAATATGAGGCTACTTGCCTTTTGCTATAAATCTGCCCTTTCATCAGCCCTGACAGGTGGCTGGACAATCCCAGTCAATTCATCAATTAAATCTACCCATTTGTAGTTGCTGGGAACCTTGTGTCCTTGGCTCTGGCAAGATCCGAGGCCCAGAATTGCAGGAAGGCTGCTGTCATCGTGGTTGATGCTCCTGGTGGGAGCCGGAGCAGGGTAGGGGAGGGCTCAAGAGGGGGCTGTCTCAGGAGGCAGGGAGAGTGGAGTGCGTTTCCAGATTTCCAGCCAGGAGAGAAGGAGAGTAGGCTTGTGTGTTTGGAGTAAGGTTGGGATGGAGGAAAGGGCAGGAAGGGGTCCCCAAGCTGGAAAAACAGATTTTGTGGTTCATGCAAGAGAGCGAGTAGTGCATTCTCTGGCTCTGCTGTGAGGCAAAGCTGGGTTACGCTCCCAGCTCTGGAACTCGCATGTTGTGTAACTTTGGGTAAGTTAGGTAACTTCTCAGAGTCTTCATTTCTGTATCTGTAAAATGGAAAGAATAATAACAACATCCCCCAGGGAGTTATGAAGATTAAATATAAAGTCTACATAATACAAATGTAATATCTAGAATGGACCTGGCGCTGAGCCCTGTCTGTAGTTAACGGTGAAATCAGTGGCGGCTGTTACGATTGCTGGAGGTAATACCGTAACAGGGGGCTACATCATACTTTTCCTTAACTTGGCCTTGAGTGTCGACTTGCCCTCGCCCATGAATCAGACAATTGCTGAATTCCTCCCTGGCAGGGTTGTTTCTCAGCTGCCTAAGCCCATTCGTCAAGCACAACGTAGAGTCTTTCTGTATCTTGATGGACTTTGGCTTTCAAAATCCATGAAGCTGCTACGGTGAGGGGTCTGACTGACTGGGTTGTCTCGGGAATGACCCACAATGGCAGAGCAGTGTCCCTGCTCCCCAAAGCTGGACTGGCTGCAATGTCCAGAGCCCACTCCCAGGAGGAGTGTGTGCTGTGTGAGTGTGCATGTGCGTATGTGTGTTAATCCTGTTCTTGGGCAGCTAAAAATGGAAGTTGGTGGCTAATTTGTGTGTGAGGAAGATGAAGGTCCTCCCTTTATTTCTGCAGGGATTACACTGTGGCCATGTATCACCTAATGGTTAAGAAAGTGACGCTGGGGTCCGATTGCCTGAGTCTGCACCCCAGAGCCCTCACTTACTGGCTGTGTAGTCTTGGGGACGTTGCTTTGATGAGTGCCTTAGTTTCCTCATCTGTAAACTGGGATGATAACACTACCTATCTCATAACGTGGGTGGGAGGATTAAAAGAGGTCCTTTAAGAGGTCATAAAGTCCTCACAGCAGGGCCTGGCACATAGAAGATGCTTAGCAAATATATGCTGAATGAACCTCGGTAAGGAAGTCTCTGGGAGGGTGAGCAGAGTCCTGGGAGTGGGACCTGCTAAGTGTGGCTCCCAAGAGTAGCTGCCTCAGCCCCCATTTGCTCACTGGTGAGATGGCGTGAGTTCATGAACTTGGGGTACTCTAGCTACTGCGAGCTGGGCATGCTTCGGGAGCCACTGAGGACCCCCCACAGAGCTGACATGCTCAACCACCAGCCCTGTGACTGTCACACGGGGAAGCAGCATGAGGAGGAGGAGGGAGAGGTGATGTGCCTCCCCCACTCTGCAAGTGCTTTTCAGCTGCTAAGGGTGCAGTGCCTGGTGGGGACAGCAAATGCATTTGCTGCTAAGAGGACGCCCCTGACACCGCAGCAAGGAGCCCACGAATGTGTTTTCCGGCACGTCTGCTAATGGCTTCATCACGGCTTTTTATGAGACGATGTGAATTGCTCTGACCAATGAGGCTTAATGGCCTTCCTCAACGAGCTGCCTGGCGTATTCTCCCCGGAGGCTCGGCTCAGAGTTAAGCCAAGAATATTAATACAGCCGGATGTGGGCCCTCCCCCTTCCTATAAAGTTGTGGAAATTGAGGTCAAGTTGGGTCCCCTGCAACGTTCTTTAAACAAGCGGCAGAGTGGTTTGTTTGCTCCTTGATCTTCCTGGTGGAGAGGGAGTGGCTTCCAGCTTCGAAGACCTGGGACCTTACGCTCTCTTGCTCTGGGTTTGCTTGCACTTGCGAGGCAGGCTCCCGGAGAGGGAGGGAGGGCCCCTAGATGCCAACGTTCGGGGCTGCTATGGTAAGAGCAGGAAATACCACGGCCCTGTGCTGGGATAGAGGAGTAGACGGCTGGTCCTCCCAGCCAGGCGGCCCTGCCATTGCCTGCCGTAACCATGAGAACGTTCTCCTGTGTGGTTGACGGTTGGAACAGCAGCGTGTCAGAGATGGGAGGGGTCTTTGCAGTCTTGTCCATCCTCCTCCTCAACCCCCATTTCATAAGTCAAGGAGCAGATGATCAGAGAGGGGAAGGGAATTCTGCAGTCAGTTGGTGTCAGGGCTGGGTTTAGAAGCTGGGTCCTTGGCTCCCCAAGCCTGGGTCTTATCCGTCCGCCGGCTGGTCCTCATTCAGCCCTTGGTGGCAATGCATTTTTAAAATCAACCTCCAGGGGTCGAGGCCATCTCTTATGGTCTCCTGCAGTCTTCCATCTTCCATGTGCTCATCCCGGTTCCTGCAGCCATTCGTCTTAGAACGTGGTTTTGATAACTTTTACCTTTCCTCTGTGGTATGGTAGAAAGAGCATCAAAATCCTCTTTATGAGCAATGAGTTCAGATTTGAGTTCTGCAACCCAGCTGCGTGACCCTGGACAAATCACATAACTATTCTCAGCCTGTAAAACAGGATGGTAAACAGGGGTGATACCATCTCCTCTCAGGTTTGTACAAATGAACCAAGGAAATGGGTGTGAGCTTGCATGCCTATAATAGGTGCTTAGCAAATATTTATTTACCCAAGCACTCAATGTCTCTCCTAATGTGTGGATGTCAATGGTGGATCATGCCTTTGGATGGTTCAACATAGAGTGTGTGGCAGCCTCCTCCATGGACTTGGCTTGGCACAGAGAATGAGACTTTTAACTTTTACCATTTCTGTGCAAGGCCAGAAGTTTGTATAGGGCAGGAACTGTCTCTTATCCACCTTCGCCAGTGCCTGGTGTATAGTCAGCGCTCAGTAAGTGCGTATTGAATGACCGGTGCTTGGAGGTGGGATGCGCGAGTGCCGTCTGTGCAGGCCCCCGTGGCCTATGAGGGTATTATCAGAGCACGTCCTAACTGATTCTCTCCCTTCGCCTCCCCTGCAGCCCGCCCTGAAGATGTCGGCACCAGCCTCTACTTTGTAAATGACTCGTTGCAGCAGGTGACATTTTCCAGCTCCGTGGGGGTGGTGGTGCCCTGCCCGGCCGCGGGCTCCCCCAGCGCGGCCCTTCGATGGTACCTGGCCACAGGGGACGACATCTACGACGTGCCGCACATCCGGCACGTCCACGCCAACGGGACGCTGCAGCTCTACCCCTTCTCCCCCTCCGCCTTCAATAGCTTTATCCACGACAATGACTACTTCTGCACCGCGGAGAACGCTGCCGGCAAGATCCGGAGCCCCAACATCCGCGTCAAAGCAGGTGAGGGACCAGATGCCTGCTCCCCGACTCAGGAGCTCAGTTTGAAGGGCTGGGATGGGGATTCTTAGGACACGTGTGTAACATGCCCAGAAGAAATGCCCATGCAAGAAATCATTCACTCAAGCACAATTTTGTTGTTCTCCTTTGAATCTTAGCTCTACCACTTATTGTGTGTTCTTAGGCATAAGAGATGCCTTTCTAAGCCTCAGTTTTCTCATCTGCAAAGTGGATGCTAGTACCTACCTCTGCAGCACTACCTGATAGTTAAATGAGATAGTGCTCATTTAAATTAGGTGCCCACTTCAGCCCTTTGCTTCGGAAACCCTTCGTTGATTTTTTTTTTTTAAAGGCTTTTATTGAAATATAATGTGTGAAGGAAAGTGCACATATTATAAGTGTATAGCACAATGAATTTTCACAAAGTTCAACTAATGTACAATATCAGCACCTCAGAAGCCTTCCTCATGCTTTTTCCATATACTATTCCCCTAAGAGGAGCCACTATCCTGACTTTTAACAATATAGATATTTTGCTTGTTTTTGACCTTTACGTAAATGGAACCCTACAGTATATATTCTCTTGACCCTTGGCTCAGTATTCTATTTGTGGGATTCACCCCTCCTGCTGTGTGTGGTGGTGGGTCATTCATTCTTGTTACGGTGTAGTTTTCTATCATGTGACTAGGCCACACTTTGTTTGTCCATTCTACTGCTCAGGGATGTTTGAATATAACATATCTCATGAGAACAAGCATTTTAGGTAAAATTATGATGGAAAACTTTTAGCAGTGAAGGATTCTGGTCTTTGGAAGGTGTATGGAGGCAAGGAAGCAGGTTTTCTCAGGTGGTCTCTTTAAAGAAAATAGAAAGTCTCATTTCTCTGGGTTGTGTCTGGAGGTGAGAGGATAGCTTAGATCAGCCATTCTTAGCTAGGATGTCGTGATACGCTGGTGTGTCATAATCAGTGGTAAGGTATGCCTTGAATAGTTGTAAAGTTTTGGGAAATAGTTTTCTTAGAAGAGCTTTTCTTGTGGGAGAGGACAGGTGGTATTCTAGCCAGCCCACGGCCATGGCGCCAGGCCTAGGGTGTGCCATCTTTCCTGGGGATTGGGTTAGGCTGAGCAAGGAGAGAGGTTCTGGGCAAGGCCTCCAAATCAGTGACAGCCTCTCTCTGACTCCTGGGTCCTTCTGCCTTAGGAGCACCTCTCACAAGGACAAGGTTCCAAGTAGGTGGGAACAGGGGTGAGGAAGGGTGAGAGTTCTATTTCATTCCACTGGTTGGTTTGGGAGCTAGGAGCTCTTCAAACCCAGGGCCATGCTCAGGGTTTCTCTCCTGGGCTTCCTACGGAATCTCTTTCTAGGATTAGGTCCTTTGCACTGTTCAACCCCTAATGCGACACCGAGTGCTAGGCTGGGAGCCCTGAGGCCTGGATTTGGGGCCCAGTTCTGGCCTCCACAGCCTGGAGGATTGGGCTGAGGGGGGACATGATGTTTCCAGCTACATGCCTGCCATTGAGTTAGGATGCAGTTCTCACGGTAAGTCTGTAGAGTGTTTCTTACGAATGAGGAGACTAAGACAAAGAGAGATTTAAGTCACTTGCCAAGGGCACACAGTTAATCACAGAGGTGCAGGTATCACGAAAAGCCCCATTGTCGGAGTGCTTTCTGTGTGCTGGGCCTTTCACATGCTGCTCTGTTCTTACTTCCTTTTGCAAATGAGGAAACTGAGTCTCCAAAAGGTTAATTGACCCTTGTCCAGGATCACATTGCTGTCAGTGCAGGAGGCACGGCCTGCTTGTTTGGTGCTGTTAACCATCACCCTCTGCTGGGTCCCTGGGACATCACAGGTGGCCTGTACCCCCATCTGCGCTTTCTACTCCCCGCTCTGCTGCCCCCCAGGGTCAGCTCCCCTCGGTCTCTTCTGTGCTCTCCCACATCTGGGGACAGTGCCTCTCCCCTCTTCTCTCCCCTCCACCTTCCCCATCGCAACTGCAACTCCAGGAGGGGAAAGAATGAAGCCTGGGCCGGCCAGGGAGGGCTGGCTCACTGGAAACAACTAATGAAGCCGCTCTTGGTGATGCCAGAGGGGCTGCAGGTGCACCACCGGGGGAGGGGCTGCCAGGGCCCTAAGTGTCGCCTTGGCAACCATGGCAGGGAGACGAGTAGGGCACACTGCCCAGGTGCCTGCTGAGGGACAAGGTTGGTAGGCAGTGGGGCTGTGGATGTTCCAGCTCTGCTTGGCAGGGAAGGGGGTGGAAGGACGGACTGAGCCCCTACAAGAGGCCATGCAAAGGAGGACAGGGCAGAAGCAGGACCCTCAGTCCCATTCCCCAGGCTGGGTCCACCTGCCCAGAAGGCCTGACACGTGAAGGTGGCTGCAAGTGACAGCACCCAGAAACTAGCCCTGGGACTGAGGCAGGAGGTGGATGCTGGGGGTAAGGAATGGTCTGAAGGCAGGGCCAAGGCTGGGGGACAGGGAGGGGTGCTTTAGAGGCTGCAGGCAGTCTCAGGAGGGGCAGAAAGCAGCAAGGGTTCTATCTTTCGGAGGACCTTGGAGACCATGTCACGTCTCAGAGACAGTTGTAGTTTCAAATGTTCTCTCCCATCGTCCTTCTAAACCACTAAGCCCTTCCAGAAAGTTCAGCATCTGAACTACAACTCCCAGGTTAACTATCATGTTGAAGTAGCCCCAAAATTGCTGTTAAATCACGTGTCACAGGTCTTATTTTAGCAAGTTATGGTCACCGTGCCCAAAACAATTGCCACCCTGGGTCCAGGAATGATGCAGGAAATCCAATT